ATTACTCCCACTCCCACTCCCATCCCGCTCCCATTCAGAATGACTCCCACTCCTGCACCACTCCCATTCTTGTTTTTTTCTTTTGAGCGCGGGTGAAAAACTCAGAGCGGAAGCACTGTTGGTTTTTGGGTCGTGTAGTTTTTTTGACTCGCATTTATAGTGTAGGCTTCAAGGAAAAAAACTACAAAAAGGCGGCGCCAGTACTGGATTTTTTTTCTTTCTATTTTATTTTCTTTTTTGGCATCGATCCTAGTTTTTCTTTAGTTATTATCGGTTTGCTCACGGCTCCCGTCTGCTCCCGTTAATGTTTAATCCTGTACCGTCCCAATCACGTGATCGTTACTAATACTGACTCCCATCCCACGGGAATCCCAAGGGAATCGTGGGATTCCCGCAAAAATGTCAGTCTCTAGTGGAAACACATAATGCTGCATTGTCTATATTCCGGCTTGCTCCTTGCTTGGGCTTGGAGCAGACATGTTCACAAGTCAATTATGGCCTGTCAAAGTCAAGTCTCAAGTCTTGAGTATGCCTGTTGCAATAATCAATTAATCGCACAAGAAATGTTAATGTCATGTTTAATTTAAATAACTTTAATTTGCGTAGACAGGCTTGGTTATTTCTTTGTGTTTCCATCTCCGTCACTGAAGATTATCTTGGATTTCATCTTGGACACTTTGTCTGCAGCAAGCTCACTTAGGCGTTACTGTGACATGGTTGGCATTAAATCTCTACCACTGACATAAAGTTTTAAAGCTGGGCTTGGTGATCAGATGGGGGGAGGTTGCATGAAATAATAAAGTCCTGTATTATTGCTTCAGTAATATCCTTCTGCATGGGATGTCCTTGGCTGTAGACCTGCACTCCTTTTGTCAGAAAGGACTCCATGTTGCTCTGTCCCTCTCCCCTCGGCAGTTTTTTTTTTCTGCTTTACTGAATTCAGAGAACCTGTAGATGAACGATGATGTTTATTTAGATAAGTGCCTAGCCTTCTGTAAATCACATTTTTTTTAAAGTGTACCAATAGTAGCAGGGATCCAATATTTATAAAGATATGAATAGCTTAAACATACTGCCTTTCAAAGCTTATTTTTCTTCTCTCTAAGCGTAGAGAATGAAAACATGACATTAAAGCAATGGAGTGACTTAGTGATGAAATTTGGCGATGGCTGATGGACCTACAGTTACTCAACCCGAATGCTTTCAATAGGGTTTGTATTTTCCAAAAATAAGCTCAAACATAAATGCTTTTCCTATTGTTTTCCTAACTAGTTAGACAGATGCCTTTTAGTGCATTATTTATAAAGAGCTAGAAAACATTAATGTATAAATACATGACAAGCCTCTGTATTTTTTAAATGTTTTTAAATGTTTTTATTTTAATTTTTTCTGACACTGCTTTTATGCTTTTGTACGGTTACCTTGAGTGTCCAGAAAGGTGCTTTTTTAAATAAAATGTATTATTATTATTACCATGGATCATAGAATGGGCTACCAATGCTGAGCCATGCACTGGAGGAGTCAGTTTACAACTAGGCTTAATTAACATATTTAAATACTTTCCTTTATTTTATTTTTTTTAAACTGTCATTTTGAAATCTATATAAATGCTTATAGGTCCTATGTGATTACCATCATCAAATTCTTCATAGTTGTTTACAAAATGGCAACAGTATAAAATAAAAATTTCAAGCTTAGCCCACTGGTGAGTTGTTCTGTTCACAGAAGAGGGCACCCCATGTGCGAGGGTCCCGTGGTGCCAGAGGGGCATCGCATTGGTGACCCCTGCTTTAAAGGTTGCCTATAGCAATGTTTATTCAAGACAACACCTTTAAAGCTTGTACTGAGCTGCTAAAATGTAATTGACTGAAAATACAAGTTGATATTTAAAAAATGAGGGCCGCAGCGAATAGATTGGTAAGAAGGAACCAGATGGTTGGAGGGTATTCCATTTTTCTGCTGTATTTCATGGAAAAGGATGTGATTCTAGGATATAGATGTTAGGAGGCCAGCTTTCTTATGAAATTAGACTTCATAAGAACCATAAATACCCAATCAGGCTTCCTAACATGAGCCAGTAGGGCAGAAAGTAAGGTGAGGGCTTTGCACATTTGAAAAAACGAGATATAGCCATTCTCTAAGCCAGGGGTAACCAATTAAAAACCAGCGAGTTCCAAAAAAAGAAAATCATCAACCAGTAAAGGTCTGGAGACATTTTTAATTATAATCTGTTACTTTAAACAGAATTTAACACTGAAATAAAATGCAGGTGTTTATGCATCCATGTTTTTTTAAAATAAAAAATAT